CAATTATTTGGGGCAAAAAAAAAAAAATCCCAGACTCACTAACATTAGAGAAATGCAAATCAAAACCACAAGAAATCATCCCATCCCCATTAAGCCAACCATTCTTCAGAAAGTTAAAAGAGGGGCTGGAGAGATGGCTCAGTGGTTAGGAGCACTGGCTGCTCTTCCGGGGGACCCAGGTTTTTATTCCAGTAACCACGTGGTGGTTCACAAATATCTATTGCTCCAATTCCAGGGGACCCAGTGCCTTCTTCTGGTCCCCATTGCACTGTATACACACTGCACAGACATACATGCAAGCAAAACCCCCATAGACGTGAAGTAAAAGTAAACTAGTTAATTAAGAAGTTAGAAGAACAAATTTTGACAAGAATGTCAGTAGGGATGTAAAAAGGTATAGCCATTATGAGAAAAAAAAGTACAAAGGTTCCTAAAGTGGTTAAAAATAGAACCAACAATCTCACTGTTGGCCATATAGCAAGAGGAAATGAAATTAATATGTGGAAGAGACATGTGGACTCCTATGTCCATTGTTGCACCATTCACACTAGCCAAAATGTGGAAACATCCAAAGTGTCCATTGACAGAGACTGTGGTGTAGACAATGGAATACTACGGACCATTTGAAGAATCCTTGCCATCTGAAAGAACATAGATAAACATGGGGCATGTTGTGCTAAGTGAAACAAGCCAGGTACGGAAAGCCAAATACCACAGGGTCTCAATTGCATCTACAGATGCTAAACTCATGGAAGAAGAGGGAGTTCAGGGGGAGTTATCAGGGACTGCAGGCATGGAGGAGCTTCAGGAGATGTATCAAAGGATATGAAGTTCCAGTTAGAGTGAGCGAGTTTGAGGATCTATTGTGGAACATCATGGCCATGATGAACAATAATATATACCCAGATTGCTAAGCAAGGAAATCTTCAACAGTCTCACCACAAACATGGTAAGTATGGTGATGGGTATGCCCATTGGCTTGATTTAACTAGTTCATAATGTGTACTTAGAGCAAAATAAACCATTATTTATTACAACTACAGGCTGGGGAGGTGGTCCCGTGGGTAAAGCAGTTGCTTAGCAAGCACCTGAGTTTGCGTCTCCAGGACTCATGTTAAAGTAGGGCATGGTGGTACACACCTGAAACCCTACTGCTGGGGGTGAAACAGAGGAAGGAGCACCCCGGGGGTTCGCTGGCCGGTTAGTCTAGCAAAATCTGTGAGCTCCAGGTTCAGTGAGAGACTGTGTCAAAAAAAATACAGTAGAGTAACAGAGAAAGATGCCAAAGTTGACATCTGTCCCCTGAAGATGTGTGTGTGAGTACACCACACACACACACACACACACACACACACACACACACACACACAAGCCTAAACAGGCATAAATGACATACACACATCATGAATAAATAAAATTTCAAGTCAGTTATAGCATTTGCAATGGCCACTCCCCATCTAAGGGAACCACCCCACCACCCCACCCTCCCCCACCCCCAGCCATCGCCTGCCATAAATATTCTGTCCTATGTGATTACCTGAAGCCAAAGCTACGGGATGTGGAAACAAGAGTATTTAAGCAAATGAGCCCATTTAGGAGCTCCCAGACATTTAGGATATGGTCTAGAAGTAAGGGTAGCTCATCTGGTACTCACTCAAAATTTTTAATTAGAAATCCAAAGAGATGGTGGCTTGCAGTCGTGGGAGCGGAGGCTGCGAAGCTGTGATGTAGCAAATGGATTATAATGGGCCACGCACACGATAAAGCTGAAAGGGTGTGAACGTTATAAATAAAAAGGCAGGGGCAGTTTTTTTCCCCCGTGCTGGTTGTCTCTGTCAGACCTCCCCGTCACGTTCCAGGAAGGCAAGGGACAGCACACTCAAAACAGAAATCTGAGAACCGTTGGATCAAGTGATCATTTCCAAAGCTGGGCTAAGACTGAGGAAAACTAGCCAACAACAGCAGGTGCTACCACCACCCCTGTCCCTGAACATCAGGGAGGGGAGGACTCCAAAACCGTGAGAGACAAGCTGAATGGAGAAGGCTGCCCTGGGGGAGAGGGCTGGGGGGGGGGGCGGTGCAGTGCACCAGCAGGAAGGAGCTGGGTCGTGCTCTCAGCCTCACCTTCCTTGGCCCCCTTTATCTCCTGTCCTGCCTCCACTGAGCAAAGGGAACCAGAGCCAGGGGGCAACCCGCTCAAGTAGAGAAAGAATGCCCCCTGGATGAGCTCAAATCAATAACCCGCCATGACCTCGGAATGACCCAAATGGTCTTTCCTAACCAGTGCTTCCTGTCTCAGGCCAATAGGCAATGGGACTTCTTTTAACCAATAAAACACAGACCTATCAAGCATCTTCGTGGTTCACCCTTAATCGCTATAGCCACAATGAAACTCTTTAAGTGTTTAAAAAAAAAAAAAAAAAAGCTATGCCATGCTTTGTTGGCATTCACGGGAAGCCTGCCCCTTTCTGAACAGAAACAGGGGAGTGGATTGGGGGGCGGGGGGGGGGGGGGCAAAGGGGGAGGGGAGGGAATGAGGAGAGGAGGGAAAGGGGGGGAAAATAAAAAATAAAAATAAAGTAATTTTTTAAAAAAAGAATGTTGATTCTATCAATCCTTGAGCTTCAAAGGTCCTTCCAAATTTCAGGGTTTTCAGTTTCTTTTTGTCGTGTTTGGAAATTCTTATTGTAGAGTCCATTCTCATGTTCTGTTGGGCTTATTTCTATGTATTTTATTTTTTACAGCTACTATAACTAGAATTTTCTTTATAATTTCTCCTTTAGTTCATTGTTAGTGTTTAGAAAGACACTTAAAAAAAACTCTGTAAAAAAAACATAACAAAACACTTTTTTCTTATCTTAGCCCCTGCAAACAGTGGTTTAATCTCCTGATACAGATTTGATTTGCCTGGCAAAATCATAAGCTCAGTTTACATAATTTTGATCTTTTCTAAACATGGGTTAACCTTCTTGAGGACAGAACAAGACAGTTGAACGAGGGAGGTGGATCTAGAGATGTGAGCAAGTGAGTGGAGGCACTGGAGAAAATGGATTAGCAGACAGAGAAACAAGAGACGACCAGATAGCATCAGGAAATGGCTGAATGCAGACCCAAGCTCACAGACCCTTATGTTCCCCAATACCACCTTCAAGGTTCTGACTCCCATCTCTGGTCCTGTGCGTCTTAAGACTTGGACCATTGTTTCTGCCTGAATTCCCATGCGTTGTCCACTGGCGTAACAAAACATCTGTGGGGATGCGGTTACCGTGGGCAACAGCCTGCGTCAGGTTCCCCAACCAGTATCTCTCCCCTCATCTGTGATGCTTCTCTGCCTCACACCAGGGAAGACCTCAGTCAGTGGTCACCATCTGAGGACTCCAGTGCCTTTTCCCCTATCCCACAGAAGTTATCAAAAGATGGGAGCTGGGAAGCCCCCTCTGTTGTCTTATACTCAGTCTCTTCATTCTCCCCCAAACCTCTACACCAAGCTCAGAAAAGACTTGGGAAGTTCTTTACTGAAAAATTAGGACACACTGCAAAAAAAGAATCATAACACAGGCAAGGACCAGTTCAAGCTTTTAATAACTTAATCTTTCCAACATCATCCAAAAAGAAATGCAGTATGACTTCCTCTCGATATGATTCCTGGCTCCATCTCAGAGGCCAAATACAGGAGGAGAAAACTCTTATCTTTTAATGGCTGCCCCTTACACACCATAATGGATTGTTCAAGAAAGGTCAGGATTAAATTTTGTCCTCTTGCCAAGAAGAGGGAGAGGAATAGAGAGGGTATAGCTGTTTTCCTCCAGTTATACTCATAAGAAGGCTCAGGATGTGTGGGCAACCCAAAAGATATTTTCCAGAAAAAAAAACAGCAACCTCTAACCCCAAGACCCAAGGAGGAAGTGTCCACTGTGCTCATAGTGAAATGTACATCAACATTCATGAAGCTCACAGGGAGGGATCATTGACACAGTATGGCTGACTCAAAGACAGAGGGTAAGGAGGGGTTAATTTCAGTAGACACATGAACTATTTACTCTGCAATTGAAACTTCTATAGCCAAGACATGTGGAAAGCGATTCCATGAGTAGCAAGTAACAGAGTTTTTCATCAAAGAATCTCTGCTGCCTGCCTTTCTCGGGCTCATTTCCCAAGAGAAAAGAAAGTGAAAGCATAGAAGATGTTCTCTGAGCCTTTGAAGTGTGTGTGTGTGTGTGTGTGTGTGTGTGTGTGTGTGTGTGTGTGCGTGCCTGCCTGCCTGCCTTCTGTGTGTCTGTGTGTACCATACATATTTGGGACCAAAGAAGACAGCCCCGAGGACACCTCTACACCACGTGATAGAAAAGAGACACTGGCGAGGTCCATGGTGAACCAGCATCATTTAGACACTGGTGAGGTCCATGGTGAACCAGCATCATTTAGCATCACTACCCGAGGTCAACTCCACTAGCAGTGGCCATGGGGTAGATCTAACACTCAGATAAAATAGAGAATCATATAGTGGGACAAATGCGAGCCAGATATTCCCTTCCACTGGACCTCTTGCACTAACCTGCTTCAGATCTCCAAGTTCAGATGGAGAGATTCAGTTCTGTCTATGGCTAAACTCTACCCAGGGCAGTCTCAGAGGGTAGATTACAGTCTCAGGATTCAGCCAGAATCATCTGAAGACTGTAAATCACATGGGCCTGGGTCCCTCCCAGAGTTCTCAGCCTAGAAGAGTTTCTATTTCTAGAAGTTTTCCAGATAGTGCTGATGCCTTTGGTCTGGGGACCACATGTTTGAGGTCTGCTCACTGGCTTACACAGATAGACATTGAAAGTCTCATTGATCTGGTCACCAATACTGAAGACACAGGAAACTCAGGCTGTGGATTTCAATCGTGGAAGCCAGCAAAAGGACAGACTGGGGGAAGGTATGTGTCTCTGGTACCACCTATTCTGTTCCCAAACCTAACAGAAAGCAAATCCTCCCGAGAAAGACAGACTGAGACTTACAATCAAGTGGGATTCAAGAAGGCCTTATCCAGTTGCTCCAAAGGAGGGCATGCTCTTGGCTCCCTCCCAGGTGCATAGGCAGCTTGCAAGAGCTCTCAGCAGCTAGATTCTACAGGTGTGGGACAGTCCCACCGTGGGGCTCCAGGGCCACCGCTGCTTCTTGTTTATGTTTACTGTTCACGTCCAAAGCTGTTCCTCCAGACTCTGGAACAGCCCAAATGAGTACTCTGCGTGTGACATGGAGACATCTGTTTTCTCTTGGCGTGTTTCTCATTCTGATTCTTCTCCCCTGCCCTCCCCCCCCTTTGTCTTACTCAATCACAATGCAACCTCCCAGAAATAGAATTCCGACAAGCTCCGGGAAAATCTGGAGGGTCCACTCAGCTTAAACTACAATTGAAAATCTTCCTGCTTGATTTGCCCGCTTTGAGACAGGGAGCACGTGTTCCTCGGAGCTGGAGACAAAAGGCTACCCCTCCCCCCCAAAGCGCATAGCTCCACAGGATTGTTTCAAAACTCAGTTAGAAAGGGCTCTTTGGGTTTTAAAAATGGATTTCTAAATAGCCCATATGGTACTTTTTTTTCCCCCCGGAGAGAATAACTTTCCAAAGTCCAGTTAGCTATGCCTTTGTATGCTAAGGAATTCTTTTTATCCATCAAAGACAAAGACTGGGGATAGACCCTTAGAAGATCAGGAATGTCGATTGTCCACTGAAAGATGTCAGCTACCAAAGAGACAGCCCTGGAACACAAGGCATCATCCTGCAGAAGATTACAGCCTCACATAGTATAGGAACCTGTCGGGACAGGAATGGCCTGCTTCAGTGAGTAATTCTATAGACCTGATTTTCTTGCTGAGGGGACAGCTCTTTAGAGAAAATGTGCGGAGTCCTAACTCCCTATCACCCCGTTCCCAGCTCCACATAGAGCCTCCCTGTGACCAAAAGGCCAGTTTGTCCCCAACAGAAGCCCTTATGAGGATTCCACTTAGCAGCCCTGTCCGCCAGCCACCATGTTAGTCTTGCTCATGGCGTAGGAACCAGTCTCATTGTTCCCAAACACGTGTGTGTAAGACACACAGTGCAGCTATCTTTCTCTAGAAGAGCAGCAGTTATCATGACAGGCTCCCATCACAAAATCTGTGGCCTGCTTGGCCTTTACAGCAACACCTGTATTCCCCCAAATCCATAAATACTCTATCACAAAGGTTCACCTCTTACAGCCCCACATACAGGAACTCAGCCATCTGCTTTTAGATTTCAACTTTCTACTTATCTTCCACTTTGTTTTATGAGAGAGGATTAGGCCTGGATTTCCTCCGGTGCCCAGGTTTCTTTCTACCACCAGCCACATGTGGAGGCCGATAAGCGGAGCTCAGACATGCATCCCACCTAACGAATGGTGCTTGTCAGTGAACTTCAACCTCCTTGGTGTTCCCCATTATGAAGCACATCCTTCACTCTCTCAGGGATAAGCTTCTCGGGAATGATGTAGCCAAATGCTATTCCACGGAGCACGTGGCTGGAGGATTCCTCCCTAAAAGAACAGTTTATCGGCAGTAAGTCTTAGCTTCCAGGTGGACAGAACAGCATTTTGGACAAACAAGGAGAAACATCAACAAACAGCAACAGTAGGGCGCAGATCCACTACCTGGGTGCTGGGGAGGTGTGTCCTAGGAAACAGTGGAATCCCAAAAGAGCTTAAAACAGTAGATCTCCAAGTGCGGGACTCGGGCCACCAGCATCATCTGAAAACCTGTTAAAAATTCAAATTATCAGCCCCATTCAAGACTTATGAATCAGAAGCTAAGTTAAGAAGAAGGCCTCCAGAGGACTAGAAAACACGTCAACGTGAGACGTCATTGGCCTAACAGCCAGTATGGATAGAACATGCTGGTCCTGTGTTGCTGGAACCTGGGGGGCATGTGGGAAAGCTCTACACTGTTGTAGAAAGCCCTAGATTAGAGACCTGATTCTATTCTGGGGGTGGTGGGGGGGCAATTTGGATTAGTCACTGTACTTCTTGAGAGAGCCGTGAAAGATCTCTGACTTTTAACTTGGCCATACCTTGGAATTATCTGGAAACTTTCAGATGCCCAGGTCCCATCCACATAGATTCTGCTTTCCTTGTTATCTGCTAAAGCCTAGACATTAGGGTGTGTGTATGTGTATGTGT